CAATGAATTTAAAAGAAAATTGATTATATAAAATAAGATACTTTGTATGTAAAATTTTTAAATTATGATTATTAAAAATTGTAATTTTTATATCTTTATACATTTTATGTAATTGCAATAATGTTATTGATAATATTATTATTAAATTTGTATTAAAATTATTATTATTAACTACAATAATACTATTATTTTTATTTTTATTTTTATTTTAATAATGATAGTAGATATGATATGATCTATTATTAATTTTTGTGTAAGAAACAAATCTTAAAAATAAAATAATAAGTTAATTGCTCCGGTATATTGACAATCTATACATTTCTTTGATTAAAGTCCGAGCTTTCTACAGATTTTATCATTTTTATCTTCTGAGTAAATGTCATTTCTGAATACGCCTACTATTATGCAACCAAGTATACTTTCCTATAGTAAATAATGCAAAAATAAATACAAAGTGAATCATTCGATGAGTTTGGTGCAAGAAATTACTTGATTGATTTATGTAATAACTAAATACTCTTTTGATTAATATTTATAATATACATTATTATTCCACAAAATAAACCTTTTTTTATTCTTTTTCTACGTTATTTAAACTCTTCAAGATAGTTTTTATAGAAAGTATCATCTTCCTGATTATTTATAAATACCTGACGTCTCGAAATGATATCTGAATTTCAGATAGCTGGTCGACCTTGTCTTCGTTTGGAAACATGTCAGTGCTCCCATTTGAACATTCGCGATTCATGTTGCAGAATAAATGCACGTGCATTTTGCATAAGATTATCGATTACACACATGATTTCCATAAGACACATAACTGTTTGTTAGCTGAGTTAGAAGGCGTCGACTAGTTTGCAATTCAAGAGCAATTATGTAACTATTTGAAAATATGAGACAAATGTAATAGCGCAAGCAGAGAAAACGAAAGCGTAATCGGTGCTTCAAGATGATTTCAGACTCCCAAACACTCTCTTTGCGCGCCATTTCCGCTATATGAAAGAAAGTCATAAGTATCAAGTTGCATAACGATCGCTGGGAGAAATGCAGATCATACGCAGTAATTTTAACATCGAACGATGATTGAATCTGTCCTATTTGCCTGCTGCATCTTTCGACACCTCAGCACATAGTAAAATTTTCCCATTGAAGAATTTATGTAATTATTACATAATTAAAATTAATTTAAAATTATTATAGAAATAATTTTAATACACTCTAAAATAAAATTTTTATCTCTCTCTCTCTCTCTCTCTCTCTCTCTCTCTCTCTCTCTCTTAGGAAAAAAATTATATTATCTATTAGAAGCGAATAATAAATTATAAAAATTAATATCCAGATTGTGCAGTTGAATACAATAGATTTAACTTTTATTTTTAAACTTTCTGCGTTTGATAAAATAAAAATCATAAACATATTATTTATTTTCAAATAATATTTCTAAATGTATTTTCTTAGAAAAATCTTTGATGTAAAAACATTATATTCTGTATTTAACAATTATGCAAACAATTTTAATTTACAAAATCTTTTTATGTTAATTACTTTAATAATTACATCTTAAGCAATTTTTTACCATTTTGACATTGGTTTATGACACTGATATGTTTTCTTTTTTCTACAGAAACTATAAATCTTCGAAATTATCAAATGCAATCATTCTAATTGTCAATAATGAACATCTCATGATGATCCAATAATGTCTAGAATTGATACAAATTATGATTACTGTTTAATAGAGTTCAACTGAATTTCAATTTCGGTTTTAATCAGTTTCGATTTGATTCCAGTTTTGATCGAAATTAAGAGAAAATTTCGGTAAGTAAACCAAAACAGTTCAAATTGCAACACGTCGGTGAGCGTTCAAAAAACAACTGTTCGATTTTAATTATTAACTCGTCCATTAAGTTTAAGATAATTTGAGTACAAACTTTTTCTGATCCTAATAATAATTGTGATTTGATTTCTTTAAAAGTTGAGGATGTAATATTATTATATTATTATAGCTAAGTATTTTAATAAAAAGAGCATATATTGTTATGAAAATAATACGATTTCTAAAAATAATACGATTTCTGTGAAATTAATCCAAAAATGATTTCAATTCTGGCCGAGAAATATATAACTCCGTTCGGCCCTCCCCCCCCCCCTTCTCTCTCTCTCTCTCTCTCTCTCAGTAAAATTTCTAAGGTCTAAGTTTTGGTTTCGATTTAGTTTTCGGCTGAATTGAATGATAATCAAATTCATTTTCAGTTTCGGCCGGAAGTCTAAATATGGTTTCGATTGGACCTTAATAATTAATAATGCAATTAGAAGAGAAAAATAAAAAGCTATGTAAATATTTTATTAAAATCTTTTTCATATTTTCTTGGTTCAGTTAATTAAATCACTCATAATTAAAACTAAATACAGGTATGCAGGTCTCTATTTTTTATAATTTTCCATTAAACGTATACAACAGTATCTGTTTACTTTATTTACTGAAATATAAAAAATCCGTAATAATTCTATGATTCAATAAATAATAATTAATTTTCTTGTCGCAATTATTATATTTTACTGCGGTTCTGGTTTACGAATACGAATCAAATTGTGATCATATATTTATATTGCAGACACCATGTATATCTCGTGTACATATTGTCAAGTATATATACATATTATCAAATATTAAAAGAGCTATACGCGCTGTCGCACATATTTAGAATACCAATGTGTAGTTGGTTCGAAGTTTTATGTATGCTTTTTATCAGTTAAATAAAATTTCATTTTATATGTAGACTGATTTTATTTTCAGCAAAAAATATCTAGCATTAGAATATCTTAACAGATGATAAAAAACAAATTTTAAAATATAAAGAAATATAATTATATACATTATTTTTATATAAATTAATGAATTTAATAATAAATTTAATTTATATAAATTTAAATTTAAATTATATAAATTAATGAATATTATTTGAATCATATAATTCATCGGAATTAATATTTTTCTTATAATTTTTGTTTATCTAAATTGCTTATATGTGATGCAATATTTATAAAATTTTTATTAGATTTATTATTATGCATTTTTATTTAAAATTTAAATGCTGTGCAGGAAATGTATGTAAATAGAAAATATTAAACAGAAAACATCTGCAAACTACATTGCTGTCATTATCTGAAGAAAAAATGACCGACAAATAAGAGATCTAAAAAAAAGAAGATCACCTTGATGTATTCGTAGCGCATTTAGTTTTAATGTTGGCAATTCTACATTCTAAAAATTCCATTCCTAGTTATGTAAAAAAATGTTTCGTTTTTATTTATTTATTATACTTTACATAAATATATTTACTTACATTTAATCAATTATTTAGATAAATATATTAATAAATAAATTATTACATACTTTTACATTTTATATTTTAAATTATTATTTATTATCTATTATTTTTTTATTTCTTTATTTAATATTTATATTTTCCTATTAATTAATATTTTAATGTATATCAATAGTTTTATGTTTTTTAATTTTTTTTCCTCTTTTTACCGGTTTTTTTTTAATACTTTGTTTTTTACGCATTTGTGCAATGAAAATACACATTATTTTATAAATACAATGTATACTACACGGTACATACATATAATTTACCATGGCCATACATATCATACTAACATCGCAATAAGATTGCCAGAGCATCGTTCCGGTTTCTACTCAAATTTCACTCGCATAGTAGGTAATATTGCGAAAAGAGCATGGAGCGTTACATTTATCGTTTCGCTAACAATTAACTAATTAAACACTTTTATTACAAATTTTTTTCCGTTAAATTTCAAGAAAAACTTTAATTTTTTTTATCTTATATTAAAATAAAATTAAAAAATTTTTTAAATACATTTATTTCTAATAAAATTTTATCTATTATTTTTATCTATTAATCAATAAAACAGAATAAATAAAAATCCGTTATGTTATTTTTATAGAATACTTAAAAAATTACTAAGAGATAATGGATATAATAATTTGTAATAAATGAATAATTATTCCTTATTCTTCGATTTTGTGATAAATTTATAAATAAATTATGAATAAAATAAAGAAAAATGTATTTAAGCATATCATATCAAATGTTCTGTAGCAATTATTGCAATTTTGATTATAACAAATGACTTAAAACAAAAAATATTTAATATTATGTAATAATTAATTATTATGAATTCACAATTTTTTAAAGTAAAGATTATAATGCACAATACATCTAGTTTTATATTTTTCATCAAAAGCATTAAAATTTTTATATATTAACAAGAAAACAAATTGCATAAATTGTAGAATATTCTATATATTGCATGTATAATTATTTCTTGCTATCTAATTATCTCATTATCTAACACATTTTTAAAATAAATATTACATAAATAAATTATATAACATTCTACTTCTAGATATTTTACTATATATTCTACAGAAGAAATCTATAAGATATATCTATATACTTGCTGAGTATATAGAGACATTTTAATATTTTTTAAGATAAAGGAATAATTTGAAAAAATGATTGATGTTTCTTAAAATATAAAGTAGTAAGTTTTCTTTTCGTGTTTTACAATTATGTATATCAATAAGATATTCTTTCGTTAAAAGAATAGATAATAAAAAATTTATTTTATTAATTAGATGATAAAGGAATTTCTCTTTTATTATATGAAAAAGATAATATTTAATCCAATATTTTTTAATAATAATTTTAGTATATTTTAATAATAATTTTTTAACATTTATATTTTAGTATGATTTTAATATTAATACTGTGTGTGTGTGTGTGTGTGTGTGTGTGTAAAATACATTGTACAGATAGTATTTTTTAACTTTTACTGAAAGAAACTGATTTAAAATTACCTATTTTATTCACAAATTATTGTAACGTATTTTCTATTTTTTCATATATCTTCTTAGTAAAAAAATTATTCTCTATTTTTTCATATATCTTAGTAAGATAAAAATCTTTAGTATGAATAAAAATATCATTGAGAATCTCTTCCTCTTGGATAGACCGGTTCCGTTTTACCTTGAACCAAATATAGGACGTATACTGCAAGAAAGATCTAACGTACAAAGCGAGATTCTGCACTTTAACATTTTTAACATTTTCTGAAATGAAAAATTGTCGTGACACTCAATAGCTATTCCTAAAAAAAAAAATTATCTAAAAATATAATTTCTGAAGAAATATTTCTTTAAGATAAATTTCTTATTAGCCAAGAGTTTTTTCAAAATTAGATGTCAGACGTAACACATCTGAATATTACTTTAAATATTTCCATGATTCTGGATTTGTTTAAACATTATTGGAGAAGTGTAAAGCTTGCCCCTCCCCTTTAAGCAAACTGTTTTGCTCAAAACGGATGATTGCACAAGCAGGTGTTTGATTGTCCGCGGTCTTGCTGCGCTTTAGCAAAGCCAGTTCTCGCTGAGCCTCGTCGCGGTCAGGCCACTCTTACTCTCGTACGGCCTCTCAGTTTCCTGGTCGCACTCTCGATTTCAATCCGTTGGTTTCTGCGTGAGATAACTACGCGTAATCTCGCAATTGTGATTGGTATATAGTGTCTACATGCAAATCTGATGTATTTTAAAATTACTTTTATGTATTTTTTATGAACATTAAATATTAAAATTTTTTAATATTAAAATTTTTTTAAGAAACTTTAAGGCACTCACAATATATTCGCATCATGAATATTGCAATAAAAAGTCTAAAACAATTCTTATATAAAATGTTACAATTTCTAGATTCTAACTGATACAGTTTCGCAAACTGTATGATACAAATCTGTTTGCGAAACTCCTAATTGTTTTAAGCATTATCAAGAACTTAACTTTAATGCAATTTTGAATAAAGTGATTTTATAAAAGTTTTTAAATTTTTTTAAACATTTTTATAATTTTTAAATCTTTTGTTATTTTACACATTTGATATTATTTCAAAGTTGTGAATTCATGATTCTTGCTTAAAACAAACTAGAAATTTTACAAACAGATTTTCTTCATCTTAAAATAAAATAAATAATATTTGTGTAACAAAGAAAAAGGGCTACAAGCCAAAAATTATTTTATAAAATTAAACATCACTAATTTTATTGTCTCTTTTATCTTTTAGCGATTTGAAAATTTAATTTTTTTTAATAAATGATTTTTACTAAGTACTTTTATTAATTTTCTGCATCGTAAAATTTTTAATGGCTGAGATTTTATTAGCAATAACTGAAGAACTTGGATTTTGACCTTTGAATGGTAATGTTCGGAAGTTACATACAGAGTTTAGCATAAAAGTCTGCATAATTTTTTAGACACTTTCAATAGTTAAGAAAAAGTTGATAGATGAATAAAGATTATGTGTTTCGCGGATTTCTTCCATGTCTAGATCCATTCTTGGAATGCCAACATTTCGTGAATCTCAGTTCTCTTCATTAGGGCAAGAAGCAGCCTAATAATATCAGGCTGCTCCTCGCCCTCCCGGGAGTCAAATCCGAATTCTTGCATTCCTTGCGAAAATTATGATGCTATTTAAAAAATTTTAAATGGCTTTGATCTTTTATGAAAAAAATTTGTTTTTAATTTTTTATCGCATGTAATAGTCCGTATAAAATAGACGAATATTCACCTTTCAATATTTTCTTAACTGTTAAAAGTATTTGAAAAATCGTATTGATCGTTACGCTATGTATGTTTTTGTACAGAAATTATTAGAAATTATTATACAAGATAGAACAAAATATTTAAATCTTTTTTAATCTTCTCAAGTTTAAATTATATCAACATTAAAATCGCAACTGTATTTTTTTATACCATTTTTTTATCTACCTGACAATTTTTCTTTTTAAATTAATTTGGATTTGTTGTGGAGCTTTAGATTTTTATAACTTTTTATAAATAATTATAATGAATTATAAGTAATTTTATTTTTTTTTATAAGTAATTTTATTTTATAAGTAATTTTATTTGAAATATATTTTATTAATTTGGATTTGTTGTGGAGCTTTAAATTTTTATAACTTTTTATAAATAATTATAATGAATTATAAGTAATTTTATTTTCATGGTAACAATTCTTTCTCGTAAAAAGTTAGCTTTACTTTGAATCGCGATTAGGTTAATTATTTAGACTTACGATTTTGTTAAAATAAAGAATTATTTTATGTTCTTCATAATATTTTGCATAAAAAGTTTTTTAAAAATAAATATTTGAAACCGTTTGTTTTATAAATTTTATATTTTTATAAACACAATTTTTTATTTTTATTTATCTTATATTTACAAATATGGAGAAGGAAAAAAAAGAAAAAATTTTTTGAAAATTTAATTAACTCCACGTTTACTTTAAAAATAAATTTTTTACTTGCCAAGTTTTTGAAATATATTTTTCGATACGGAGTTAACTGAAATATCCTAAATTAAAATCTCAAAGGATTAATGCTAATAAATAGGACAAAAATTTTTTCTAAATTTGAAGATTTTATCCTCAAATCTTATTTAAAAGTTAAAAAGCTTCTTTTTTATCTTTAAATATTTAAAACCTTTGTTTTATTTTAAGTTTGTTTTTTATTCCTGCACTCTTTAAACTGGTACATTCGATGCAATAAATTGGAGTAAAACAAATATATATTTGTTTAACTTATTGCACTGTATGCATCAGTTTAGAGAGTATAAAAATAAAAAACAGATCTTTTATCTATAATTTATTTTAAATATAGTGCGGCCAAACATGTTACATCAGGAGCAAAATGTGCATGAAAAAAAGCGAGAATTCTTGAAGACATAATACTGCAAAAGAAATCAAGCTTAACCGTGACATTTCAAATTATTATCAGTGATCATTTTAAACAATTTTCAGTGATCAAAGTTCTTGACATGTATTCAATAATTTATAAATAGTTGACCAGTTGGTGTTGTGTAACAAACAAGTAGATGACTTGTTAAAAAATTAAAAAAAAAATAAGCGCTTAAAAATAAATTATTTAAAATATTAAATGTGAAAGAAAATAAAAGTGTTGCTTCAAGATGTATTCTTAAAAAATACACTTATAATAATTTCTGTGAAGAGAATCTTTATTAAAAAGATATATTTTGACGTGTAATAGGATAATTAAGAATAGAGCACTTAAAAACATTTTTCCAAGAAATTTTTATTGAAAATTGTTGAGAGAATATTCTACAATACTTTGTAGAAGGACACGCTCAAATACAGTTGAATAAATGTGAAGATATGAGTAATGTAAATAAGGAAATATGACTTAAGTAAAGAAGAATCGTGCAAAGGTGCTCGTCAGTCAACCTCACGTCGACCGATCTCATTCTCCAAAAAGATTTCATTCGAAGAAATTAGCAAGCAGCATTGTAGTTAACATTTTTTTCATTTAAATTTTACAGGTAAATATTTTTATCGTTAATTATTAATCTTACTGAGTCATTTTATAGAACGTTCGCAAATGAAATACATTTAATACGTATATTTAATTACAATAGTAATGTATTAATATTTGTTAATATGCAGTAAT